CACTGACTCGAGTATAAGCCGAGGCGGCTTTTTTCAGCCCAAAAAGTGGGCTGAAAAACTAGGCTTATACTTGAGTATATACAGTACTTGGGAGTGAGCTCCGTTGCAATAGAAATTTTATATGTATAAAATTTTGCTATATGAATAATTAAATTTCATCTTAATTTTTTTCCAAATTTGGTGCTGAATGAAAATAACTCCAGCCTAAATGATGTCACAAATATTGCCTAATTGATCAGGTAAACTTCTAAAACATTTCTCAACTTGAATAAAATTGGAATCATAATTATTTTTTCTCTTTAAGTTAATATGCATGTATTTTCTTGATAGTTCAACAATTAGATGAAAACCTGTTACCCTCCAATCATGGAATAAGATAGTTAAGAGATAAGAGAGAGTCAATTTGATGTAGTAATATGGCGCTGGCTTGAAATCAGGAGCCTGTGAGTTCTAGTCCTGCCTTAGGCATGAAAGCCAGTTGGGTGACTTTGGGTCAGTCACTCTCTCAGTCCAACCCACTTCACAGGGTTGATGTTGCGGGGAGAATAGGAGGATACAGAACTATTATGTATGTTTGCCACTTTGAGTTACTTATCAAGTTACAGGGGGGATAAATATCCTTTTTGTTTGTAGAAAAAGGAATGAGTACGCTTGTATTTCAGGTTGTCTTTGCATTGTATTCTTACTTTGAATTTCTCAAAGTGCACCTGACTAACTCCCATGAAAATTTATTTTGAAGATAAATCCTTCTTTTTAATTAAACCTTACATTTAGCGTTTATTTTTGTTGTGCAGTTGTAGTATGTTTATTACTATATTAAGCTATTTGGTATTCTTTTAAAGTTTCATGGAAGCACTTTTTAGGCTGAAAACCAATAACATGTAAGCGGACATAATTCAGTTTATTTATTAATCAAATTTATATAGCTGCCCATCTGACAAGAAGTAATGATACAATAGTGGATCATGACCATGGCTAAGTACAGCCTTATTGTTGCATGACTTAATGATAGACACCTTTCCCTTCTCAAACAGTGATGACATACATTATATGAGTTAAGAAATTAAAAGCTGCATAATATTGCAAATTAAACAAACAGTCCACTGTTATTCAATGTAAACATTCCTTAAATATTTTCTATTCAAAAATTATTAGAATCTGTAATCACAGACATTTCTCTTTATAGGTGAGAATATATAAGCATGTAATTGTCTTAACTGAAAGGCAGATACCCATTTCAAAATTAATCTGCAAGCACGTACATTTTGAAAGCTGTGGTATGTTTTAAAAATCATTGGAGGAAACAAAATCTGCATTGTCTGCTATTTAATTAATATTTTAATAATCGATTGATAAGAGATTGGAAAAAGAACTTTTAAACAAATGAAAATATTGACAATCTGTTTCATGAAAATATTCAGGATAATTTTCTCCAATTTTCATTTAGTTAAAAGCAGGTAAAATATACTTTTTGCAAAAATGTGGAGTAAAAAACTTTGAAAAAAATTGCTTCCCTTTAAAATTTTTTATCAGAAATTATTTTTTCTAGCTGCTTCATTCTTCCCAATGAGATCTGCCTATATTCTCGGTCTTGCCTTGGACAAATATTATACACATTTATTTTGGACCAAGTCTCATTGAAAATTTTAAATTAGTTTTAATTTTATATGCATGGAATTGTAAAGTTGGTCTAGTGATGCATTTTGAATGAAAAAATGTTATTAAATCCTTAAATCCTGCTTCAAATAATTCCTCCCTCCACCATTTTAAGCAACAAAGCAGTGACATCAGGAGTCTGATGGGAGAACAAAATTACCTGCATGCAAATTTAATGCATTGATAAATTGGTTATACTTTTTTAAAAAAAATAATTTTTGAAAATGTATAAATATTAGAAACTAAGGAAGAAAAAATTTAAATGGCATCCGGAGACTTCTGTTTCATATCCCCCCCCCTTCCCGATCTCTTAAAATGTAGTAGAGCAGTATATACTGTGTTTCCCCAAAAATATTTTATTTACTTATTTACTTATTTTCTTTTTACCCACAAAATATGGCTTGGGCCTTATTATGAGGGGAGGGTTTATTATTTTGGGGTTGCCGGGCAGCTGCTCTCTTGCAAGTGGGCTCCCAAAGAGCCAGGCACAGCCTCATGGGTGAATGGCTCTCCCTGCAGAGCCAGGGCACCTCTACTGCCGCTGCCGCATGGCTTTTTCTGTGGCTTCCAAATCGAGTCTTCTGGCAGTGACCGCTCTGGGCGTACGCTCTATGGTTATGGGCCCAGCTGCCAGCAGAGTGTACAACCATAGAGTGTATGCCCAGAGCGGCCACTGCCAGAAGACTCGGTTTGGAAGCCGCAGAAAAAGCCATGCGGAGGTGCCTGGCTCTGCAGGGGGAGCTGGGCCAGGGCATGGTGAGGCTGGGAGGTGTGTGAGTGAGAGCGGAACAGCCGCTCGTGTAACCCCCCTCTCCAGTCGTGCAGAGTGCCATTCACTGGCATTTTGAAGGTGCCAAGCTGCGGGAGCCAGGCAGCGGTGAACAGGTGCTCACGTGGCTTGGCGGTACCTCTAGGTCAGTGAATGGCACTGTGCCCGGTTGGAAAGGGGGGTTGCTGGGTGGCTGCTCGTGAGCGTGGCCGCTTCCTGGCTGCTGTGTTGCACTGCTGCGACAGCGCAATGCAGCTGTTCGCCCATGAGGCTGTGCCTGACTCTTTGAGAGCCCGCTTGCAAGAGAGCAGCTGCCTGGCAACCCCCCTCTTCATCTGGGTACAGAGCCGCTCACCAACCTAGCAGTACCCGAAGGTGCAATCACCTTTGCCTCCCTCCCGCTTCTGGCGGTTTGGCACCTTTGGAATACCGCTAGGTGGTGAACAGCGCTCTGGTTGGAGGTGGGGGTTGTCCAGGGGGCTTATTTGCGGGGGAGGGCTTATATTTTTCCCCACCAGAAAAATGTGGCATGGCCTTATTATCAGGACATGTCATAATTTTGGGGAAACACGGTAGGAAGTAAATTTTCAATGAAATTGTTTCTATTATCTTCTCACTTGTTCACTCTCCCTATATCTGTATGATATACAGATAGACCTCGAGGTACAACTTTAATGGAATCTGCCCATTAGGGTTGTAAGTCAAAAAAATTCATCAAATGAATCAGACTCAAGTTTGCGAATTTTTGAAATCAAATTCATTAATTGAATCAGATGGATCATTAAATGAACAAGGATCTGACTTACTATTTCCTCAGATTCATTAATTGATTGCTGCCATCATTAACTGGCGGAAAGATATTCCCCACTACTGCTGGCCAACGATTAACTGTTTCTAGTACAACCTTCAGCTCAGGAACTAAATTATTTCCAAGCAGGCTCCCAGAGCTTTCTGCTTGCAGTTGCTTTAAAAAAATAAAATCACTTGCTGGTAGCTGGCCCAAGCATCTCTAATCAGCTGCCCTGAAGGGGGAGGGAGTAAAATTTATAGAACTCTCAAGTCAACTCTCAAATTTGTATCTTTAAAAAAAAATCACTTGCCCTTGCTAATCTCAAACCTCTCCAGGCAGCATCAAAAAAACAAAAATAAACTTGGCACTGGCTGCAAAATCACCGGATCTTGTTTGGCCATGTGATATTGGGGGGGCGGGGAGGAACGCGTGCCAGCTTTAGAAAATGGCATGTCGTAACCCCGAACGGCCAAAGGGAAGTGACAGCGTTAAAAATGGCTGCTAGCAGTGACAGAATCCACATGACTACCGAGGCCTCTCTTTGGCTGCAGTTTTGAATTTCTAACTTAGGTAAATTTTCTGGATAAATTCATTCTTGTGAAAATTCGCTAAACGAATGGTTGCCCCTGGGGGATTACCTGCGTGTTCCATTTTTCCTTGTGTAAAAGATTTATTTGTTATCTTTATTTTTCAGAATCTGTCTGGATTTCTGCTGTACTCAAGTTTTAGTGTAAACTCAGTTCAAAGAAGAAACTATGCAGCGAAGGCCCAAAGCATTAAATACTGGAGTGCTTTTGCTCCTTTCTCAGCTTTATCAAGTTGGGTTTCACAACATTCCACCTGTCACGCTTGCAACCTTGGCAGTGAACATTTTCTTTTTTCTACGACCCCTGAAACCTCTGGACGAAGCATGTATTAGTGTCAATCGGTGTCTTTACAAAAAGGACTGGCATCGTTTGTATCTTTCAGCATTTCACCATGCAGATGACTGGCATCTATATTTTAATATGGCCTCCTTGCTTTGGAAAGGAATTAAATTGGAGAACAGACTTGGAACTAAGTGGTTTGGATATATAATTGCACTGTTTTCACTACTTGTGGGAGCTGTATACCTATTTCTGGAAGCTATACTGGCCGAACTTCTTGGTGATCCTTTATATGAACATCACTGTGCTGTTGGTTTTTCTGGTAAGGTGTTCTTTATTATGCGTCCACTTTTTTATGACTATTATTTATTGCAAATGCTAGCTGTTAGGAAATAGATAATATGTATTATGGGAATGTGAAATTACCATGTTCTTGAATCTATATAAAAATGGCTCTCTGTGTGTGTTCCAGGGTAACTCTGGAACCCTTGAGCAATTTCAACTAAACTTCCTACACAGAAGACTTACTCTAGAGAAAAATACTGTGGTGGTAAGACACCCTTAATACTGCTTGAGGGGGTGTTCCATTAAGATGCAGCATGTTGTACCTTTCAATGGCTTCTACTGTACTGCTATAAAATGGCTTCTACTGTACAGCATAGTAGAGTTGCCATGATAACGGCTTCACAGTACCCTGCAAGGGGGTTTGTTTGTTGTTGTTTATTAGTTTTGTATGCTGCCCACTCCCGAAGGACTCCGGGCGGCTCACAATAAACGGGGAAAGGGAAATAAATAAGGTAATACAAAGAATTTAAAAATGCACAACATTCACAATTGAGGCAGGGCTGAATATTTCAACAGCCCCCAGCCTATCGGAACAGCCAGGACTTGGTAGCTTTACGGAAGGCC